ACAGGTCAAAATGATTATAAGCATATAGCGAGATAGTTAAGGATCAAACCCTATATATATATATATATATGTTGTGGACTGTTAAGATCCCATGAGCACGACCATGCTTGGGCCTACATATGTTTATTTAAAAAAATGGTAGAACGAACAAAGAAGCAAGGGAAACAAAATAAATAAATAAATAAATAAAAATAACGGCACTTAGCGTACAGGGAGTTCGACTAGTGCTGCAAATGTTTCTACTGAATTCTAAATTTTTATCTAGTAGAGTTTTGCATTTTAGATTTATGTGGTTTTAGTTTTGAGGGCATTTGAGTCTATTTAAGTGGATTTTTTTGCTATTTTTGAAAGTTTTTTACAAAACTTATATTTATGAAAATAGGGGTAAATTTTGGCCATTTTTGATAAAAACTCGAGAGATGATGGAGGGATGGCTGGGGTACGGGAAATGGTTGAGGAAGTGATACAAATGAATATAAAGAGTTGGGCCTGGTTAAGAAATAGAGTTTGGCCAAGTGAGATGGCTAAGAAATGGAGTTGGGCCTATATATTTATTTGACTTTTGGAGTTGGACTTGGTGTGGAGAGGTCTAATAATATATAACTATATATTAAAATTATATATTTTTTAATTTGACCGGTCTAATTCGGTTTGATCTGGTTTTTGAAGGCATGGAATCAGAACCAGAACTGGTCCGGTTCGGTTTTTTGACAGGTTGTTAACTTTTTGGTCAACTCCGTTTTTTTATGCGATTCGGCTCTGATTTTCGGTTTGCCGGTTTGAATGCCCACCCTTACCATGTGGAGAGGCAAATATTGAAGGGCGACAATGTGATCCATAAATACTTGATGTACATCATTGTCTGTATTGATAGTTTCTTCTAATTAAGGTCTAAAATTATGTATAATGCTTATGAAATGAAGGTGCTTCAAGTATGGAATTGGAGATTTCACTTTTGATGTACCAATCCACATGATATTTTATTTCTTCAAATATACTTAATCTTTTATGTATGTGACTACTTATGGGACATTGGAAGTTGTAAAATTTTTGCTTTCTCCACTTTCAGTGGATATTCTAGTTAAAGATGCAACAATCTAGGATAAAGACTTAAAGATTTAGGTGGATTATTATAGGGCTTGATTAATGATCATGATGGAGCCAATACTTGTGACATTATTCCAAGGAGGCCTAGTCTAGTCCAGAATTGGTGCGTCATGTGCAAAAGAAACCTGGATGTATGGATCATCTCTTCTTTTGTAGCACTATTACATTAAAGCTTTCTTTTATGAGAGATTCATTGTTATACCCAATATAGGAGCCCAAATTATTTATATATAAAAAACCTATATTAAATGGACTTTAGAAACACACCCAAAGCTTATTTACAACATAACAAAAAGGCTTTTAACTTCTTTTAAATTACAAAACTGCCATTAATTTCTTAAAACAAACTCAACCTCAAACCTCATAAAAAAGCCCAAAACACTTAACAGGGCATCAAAGTAATTTAATAATCAAAATGAAATTCAATAGGGTCAACTGTTATTTTTTGGGTTTTTTTGGGGTTTATTTATAGAAATTAAATGGTGTAGGATTTATCTATATTATTAGTGTTAAGAATAAGTATATGACTAAATATCACTCCTTGTATTTATTTTGGTACTGTCTCTTAATCAAATTGTTGTTATCAAAGATTGATTAGGATGGATATCATCTAAAGATGGCAAAAAATGAGTCACATTTTATTATAATTGCTAAATTGGATTTAATATGATGTAGATTTGTTCAGCGATGACTAGTATGGATTGGACCTTAAAATATTTATGCGGTGGTTGTAATTTACTTATAAGCCAGGATTATTTGGTTCTAAAGGTGGACAAAGTGCCGGATTATGACGATGAAGTTGAAGATTGGTTGTTTGGGTGCAGTGAGCCCAAGGTGGAATCTTCAGGGTTGAGGAGACACTTGAGGTATGGTCAGAGGCTCTGCGGATACTTTGCTGATGTTCACACTCTACCGTATGTCATTCCATATTGATTGACTGAAATGGGCATGCTTCACCTCCTAACTCTGATGCGGGCAACCCTCGCCAGGACCACACTAGACTGAAGCTAGAAAGGCATCTAGCCACCTTGGACATATATTCAGAGTTTTGTAGCTGCATTCATCTGTGTTCCCGAAACCGGCCGATAATTATATATTCATCTCTGACAA